GAGAAGATTTGTGTGCACTGGAGGTGAGGATGGTGATGGGGGCATAGCTGATCATCATTTTGTGGTTATTGTCCTTTTTTTGTGTCACTTCTTGCGTGAGTGTCCTGTCCAGCAAGAATAAAAGAGTCATGTTTGCTGCCTGGGTAACTGGCACACGCATTCAATGATGACATTCTTGGCATCGAATATATGTGCATTCATGGAAACTGCACAGACTTGAACAGTCAGTCAGTTAAACACAAGATGTTGAGCAAGCCAGGAACCACAGAATCCAAGAATCTATTTTTTTTGCTGCTGTTGCAGAAGAAATGCTGGGCTCTACCGTAGCGAATGTTTTTGAATAGTGCTTTCTGAATTCTAATGTTCCCACACTGTACTAGTAATCCCAGTTTGTTTTTGAAAGCAGGTAACCATCTTTTGTTTTTCCTCCTGAGACTGAAGGAGAAGTAAGGCAGCCTAGTGCCAGGTTTCTCTGCCTTTATTAATAATAATCATTACATTTGATATAGTGCCTTATCATGCTGTTGGGACGTCTCAAAGCGCTTCACAGAATATATTGTAAAGTGGATTGACTGTGAATTTTGTGGGCAATACTCTTGCCTTTGAACTAAGCACTGGGAGAGAAAAGTAGTCACACAACATCAGCCAACGGAAATCACAAGATCAAAAGAGAGGATTGTAATGAAGAAGACCGTTTAACCCACTTTGAACTAATCTAAAATATCAACTTGTCATCCAGCTCCCTACTGCAGCATCAAATAGTTTCTGAAATGAGTCCAGTGTCGTAGAATCAAACATCTTCCTCTGTCCACCTGGCTTGACTTGCCACAACTGTCCAGCCATGTGAAAAGACCCTTTATCCTAAGTTACTCCAGTACAGGAATCAGGCACGTTGCCACAGGGAGGAAATATCAGAAGCCTAGTTCATCTAACTACAAAGCAGCATCGACAAGTCGTGTAACAGTAAAGTTGGAATGTTTCAATGAAAGCTCTGGGATGCTACTCTGGGTGAAGGGCGCTATATAAATGCAAGTTGTTGTGGTAGAGTTAAAATGTTTCAATTACCTTTGACTGTGGCTTTTGTTACAGTCATATCCTGTATACCTGTATACCATTACTGATGTCCTTTATCTTTTCGGTTCCTGTTTACTCATCATTTCACAGTGTTGCCTCTCTCCCTTGTGAGCTCAGTGTTTCCATCTTGCACACATTTGGATCATTCCTGAGTTAAGACCTCAAACACACAAACTGACATTTTCCACATGGCAATAACTGGACATATAAATTATTAACAGCCTGAAGGTAGATCCATTCCACCAAACATATGAAGGAAATTGTTCAAACTGCAATTGGTGTTCACAAGTTGATCATTTCATTTGAAATGCTTCATATCTCCTCACTCATAAAAGATACACAACAGGGAAGAATAAAACAATCAGGAGGTGTCGCTTTGGCTCAGTAGATGGCACTCTTGCCTCTGAGTCAGAAGGATGTGGGTTCAGGCTCCATACCAGCATTTAAATTCTATGTTAATCCTCCAGTGTAGAACTGAGTGAATGCTACATTGTTGGAAATGCTGTCCTTTGAATTTAATATTAAACATTGATCACTTCTGCCTGTCACGTAGATGGTAAAGATCCCGCACCACTATTTTAAAATAAGACCATGGAGTCCTCCTAGTCAATGATCGAAATTCAATAAAACCGCTTATATTTGACGTCTCATTGCTGTTGGTTTGGCACTGCTGAAGCAGATCAGCTGTTCATTGCAATGTTGTACTTTGACATTGTTGACATAAGGTGCTAATATCAAATTCAAGGATTATTACTATTAAATATGTCAGATTATATTTAACTTGTAATTATAAGAATATTTGCATTTGATATAGCACTTTATCACATCGTCAACATGGTTTGCAGGATTTCCTGTAAAGTGTAATGACCTGTGTAATTTCACAGCCAATCTGCATACAGCGATGTGCCACAAATATCGATGAAGTGAATGACAAATTTTCCCTGGAGGATTGTTGGCCAGGATACATAGAGAAACTAACATTACTTCTCAAATAGTGATACGTGATATTAAATATCCACTTGAACAGGCAAAGGGATCTTGGTTTAAAGTCTCATTCAAAGGATGGCAGGTCTAACAATACAGCACAACCCCAGCAATGTATTGGAGTGTCAGCCTAGACTGTGTGTTTCAAGACTTGATGTGGGGCTTGAACCCACAACTGTCCAACTCAGACGCAAGAGTGCTCCCAACTGATACCCTTTTAAGCCAAATAAGATGATCGATGCAGTCATGCCTTATATAATTCAGGGAATCTTTGTAGATGGTTCAGTGTCCAACTGTATGCATTTAAATAGCAAGGTTTTATCTGTGTCTTGGTAGAATTGTGGATTTTATGGTTCTACTCTGTGTAACTGTGAATTATCAGTGCATTCCAGCATTGAGGTGTGGCAGCTGTCTCACAGTGTACAACTGTGCAGTGGCTCCATTATGTGAAGTGTTCTCACTGCACTTAACAAAGGAAGTAGTGTATCTTTGTAAAGACGTTGCCAAAGATGGCTACTGAAGTTACACTGTAAGGAGTAAATACCTCATTACCCAGTTTTAAATCTCTCCTGAAAGGGGTGGTTCTATCAGAAAAAAATATGTCTGTTTAATCTCTCTGATCATTCGGTGACTTGCTGAGGTATACAATCTAAGAAGATCCCAGGTCTATCCAGAGCTAGATATCAGCAGGAGGGGCTCTATAATTATCCTCAACACCCCAAGTTACATTAAGAGTGTACGTGTCCCTTTATCAATGCAAGGCATCCCAAAGTTATTTGGGTAGAGGTCCTTCTTGGTAAACAATACTGTGTATTGATCATTGCCAGTATTCCACATTTCATAAGATAATGAATTACTGTAAAAACAAGCGCAACTATTTAGGGGAATTAAAAATAAGTTAATCATAAAGTTTGGTGGCAGATTAGGTATTAAAAGTTAATTAAAAATGTTGGTGCAGGAAAGCGCAAAGTACAATTTGACTTTTGCCATGTGCAGAATTGCAGGTTGCATTCAGGTTTGTTTTCTTGGATTAATATAAATTAATAAACAGAACTATAAATACTAACAGTGGTAGAGACCCCAAGATTCAAATTCAGGCTGAGGTAATCGCTGAGAACACTCACAAAGAGCAGCTAAGATGCACTCTCGTGTTTCCTGTAATAATGCTTACTTCACGTGCTGACCTGTTACTTTCAGTGTTTACGTATTTTTGTATTTGTTGTTTAAAGGCAACAAATACGAAAATACCTTTGTTTAAAGTTTTTTTTGTGACCACAACCTTAACTCTATTATTTGCTGCTAAATTTATATATTTCAATATAGTCAAAAAGTCACACTTATTTTGAATCCCTTTTATAATTTTCAATTGTTTTTTTTCCAGTGTGATATAAACAATATTCAGTACTTCAGTAAACTAGTGATGAAGAGCAAAAAGCCCTGAATCTACAATCATATTTTAAAGTCTATTCTTAAAAAATTAATATGAGAAAAGCTTTTCTTTCAAAGATTTATGCCGAGCCCTGAGCCCAAATCTGAGTAATTGCTCAAGCAATTTTGGCATTAACACAAGGAAAGTTAAACAAGTGTTGTTAATACACTTCATCAAGGCAGGGCAAACCAGGTTCTTATAACATTGGTTGCTTACTCAGCATGCACTCTTCCTTTCTTTATATTTTATATGGGAAAAGGTACGGAAACTGCACAACTGGGGGCGGCTAAATAGAGTCTTTCTCTTGGATTAAGTGGGCTCCAAGTCTAATATGTAGATGAGTGAATGCTCAGTGATGGAATCAGTTATCCAACACATATTCTAGGCATGTCCACAGGACTCCAGTGTTGCTAATTAACTTGCCTCTCTGCTTCATCAATGGGTTTTGTAGGGTACGTTTGTTATGAAGGGCATTTAACTTCTAGTAACCCTGCAAGAGAGTGCTTTGAAGTATAGGGTAGACATTGCTGTACAAGCAGTTGGAAATTGGTAAACTCACAGTTTCAACTGGTTCAATCTCAGCAATCCCAGTGTACACTTGAGGATCGCTATTTCTTGTCTTGTGTTTTCTAGCTATAGGTAAGATGAGTATGAGGCCCCCTCTCCTTATGGAGATGATGCGCTCCAGAACTAGAAAACAGAAACTCTGCTCCTGGCTCATCTGCAGGACCTTGAAGGGCAGACCAGACACTGGGGGCAGGCAGTCATCCCACTCAGCTCCTATTAACCCTGCAAGCCAAAGCCCTCACAGGTAGGGTGATTCTAGCCGGACAAGCAGCTGGAAAGCTTGTCGGACAGCAATATTAATGGTAAGCTATGCAGTTTTAGCTGGTTAAACTCCAGTAGTACCCCAATGCATACTCTGGGGTCCCAAGCCTTTGCTCTTGCCAACCTGCACCTAATTCTTTCCAGAGTTAGGTAAGCAGGATGAGTCCCTCCAGGAAAAGAGAGCGCATTCCATTCCAACAATTTATCTCTGGGATTTCCATGTGTAGGTGGAATACGTGGAAATCTCAGTTTGCTTTAGATACTCTTAAGCATGGTTATGGGTTTCTGCATGTATCAGATACCCGGCTGACCAAAAAAAAATCTCAGTAGCTGGACTTGAGATTCTTAACCATGATGAGTTCTTGTGTTTGTGAAGAACAGTTGTAAAGAACTTTCACTCATATTCCAGCATCATTTTGAGTTGTGTTTCAGCTGTTGGTAATAGTATAGATCTAGATGTACAAAACTGTTCTATAATTGCTCAACTTCAGCATTCCTCCGTGGTAATGTTGAACAAAGGATTGGATCTTTAAAATTTTAATCAGTCTTTTTCATGTTTACAATTCAGCCGCTCAATTTCCATTTGAAACCAGCCAGGCCTTACCAATTTCAGTTCTGAAATGTTCAAGAGGGAATGCACAATCCAACATCAATACATGAGATAAACTATTATAAACGCAATTTCTTGCTGTTGGTATTGCTCAGAATTTTAACTACTGCTATTCCATTTTTTACATAGAAACCAACTTGCAAAAGTAGTGAAACAGTTGAGGGAGAAATGTCACAATATTGTCATGGGAAATATGTCAGTGCGGTTAGCAAGTGGTCTGTTCTTCTTGGATATTCCTTGACACCATGTTACACTGCTCACTACCTAAGAATGTGGTTGCTGTGCGGGCAGCAGCTTCTACATTATAAACAAATTTACGCACCCAGGTGTTCAAATTGTGTGAACAGCCATCTTCGGATATGAAGGGCAACCATTTTTCACCCACAAAATATACTGTCAATTCACTTTACACTATATTCTGCGAAGCGCTTTGAGACGTCTCAACGACGTGATAAGGTGCTATATCAAAAGCAAGGATTATTATTATTACTAAAGGCATAGTTCTGGAACAGTCATATAAAGCCAATTCCAGAAAATCTGCTCCATTATGTAGGCTGCAAAGGAGCATTCTATTTGTTGACTTCCAGCTGTTGATAATTTTAAAATCATCTAATCCCACAAGAAAAAATGTTGCAATCTCTTCCAATCTCTTGCAAGTTTCTTCCCTATGAGGCAATTGTCATGGTTAATGTTCATTTACTGCAATGGACTATCTTCAATTGTCACTACACCCCATCTTGTTATCCTTGCATTTGATATAGTGACTTTCATGTCAGGAAGACATCACAATATGCTTCACAGAATTTTACGTAAAATGACTGTATAATGTTGGCAAATGTAGCAAACAAAATGCACACAAGGTCCTACAAATAGTCATGAAATGAATGACCAATTTTACCTGCAGAATTCTTAGCCACTATGCCAGAGAAACTCCCTTCTCTTTTTGAATAGTGCCATAGGATTTTTAATGTCCACCCAAACAGAAAGATGGGACCTCAGTTTAAGATGTCATTGGAAGGACAGCACCTGCAACAATGCAGTATACCCCCAGACCTGTATTACAGTGACAGCCTAGAATTTATGAGATCAAAGTCATGATTTGGGGCTTGAACCTACAACCTTCTGACTCCAGAGGCTACCACCTGAGCCAGGCTAACACTTTGAGTAATCATTTTGAGCAAATGCCAAGTTTCCTGGTGACAGCTTGGATGTACTGAACAGTTACACTTGCTCAACTTCAGTGTTCCTGGGTAGTAATGGTACACAAAAGAACAGATCTTTAAAAATCAGGAGTGGCAAATCGAGATGACTATTTTACAGTGTCCCTCCTACTTGTTAATATTGTTCTGTTGTAAGGTTTTATGCATTTTAAGCAACCTCTGTACTGATTACTTTTCCGAGCTTCCCTGTAGAAGCCAACACAAACAAAAGGACTTTTCTCAAAGGCCATTTTAGTCACCAAATGGCATGCGGAAGATATGAGGATGTTTTTTGTAACACCAAACACATGTACGCTCCATGTACGCTCTTAATGTATACTCTTTAACACCCGCCCCTCCCTCCAGTCGCGGTGCAAATTTATCACCCGCCTTTCTCCCTTAAAATCCATCAGTGTTTTTTTTAAAAAAATCCAACACCAGTGACCGACCGCTTCATAAGATATAGCAAATAACCGGAACATATCGCAAATTGTTTAACAATTTTTTTTTTTTGGGGGGGGGCGGAATATGAACTGCTTCCCAATGAAACTTGCTTCACTGGGATTGCATTGATTCGGAAGAGTAGAGACAATGGCTTTCTTTTTTTTTGGTGGGTGGGAGGGAGAGAAGGAGAGAGAGAGAGAGAGAAAGAGAGGGGGGGGGGGGGGAAATTTCCTACAAATACTACACCAAGAGAAAGGTGCAAATCAGAAAGGAAAACAAGACAAGTCAGCAACACCCCCCCCCACCCCATACACACACACAAACCAGGCAGGACATTTTGTCACGAAAAAAAAGTGTGGGCGTGGGGGGGGGGGGGAGAGAAGAATTTGGAGATGTCTCGATGAATAACAAATAATAATATTTTTTTAAAAAAAGGAATAAAATTGATATTTTTTTTTGGTGTGGGTGGAGGGTTGGTGGGGGGAGTGTGGAGGGAGTGGGGGGGAGAGGGAGAAGGAAAGGGGGGGGGAGTGTGGAGGGGTGGGGGAGAGGGAGAGGGAGAGGAAAGGGGGGGGAGTGTGGAGGGGGGGGGGGAGGGAGAGGAGGGAGGGAGAGGAAGTGGGGGGGGTGGGGGGTAGGGGGGGAGAGGGAGAAGGAAAGGGGGGGGGAGTGTGGAGGGGTGGGGGAGAGGGGGGGGGAGGGAGAAGGAAAGGGGGGGGGGGGGGGGGGAGGCTCGGATGGTCAACGTTGCCTCCAGATCTGACCACCAGCTCCCACCGCCATGACCAACCCCACACTGCGAGGTTTAAAGGGAAAATGGATTGTTTCGACGAGTGAGTGAGTGAGTGAGTGAGGAGGAGGAGGAGGGGTGGAACTACTTTCTGTGAGCGTCCGCCGCGGCTTCTGGAGCGAGAGAGAGAGAGAGAGAGAGGGAGGAAGAGAGAACGAGGAGGAGAGGAGGATAAAGGGAGGAGGAGGGGGGAGGGGAGAGAAAGAGAGTGGGGGGGGGAGGAGGAGAAGAAGAAGAAGAGGGAGGAGGAGGAGGAGGCGGGACGGACATTTAACTCCCTGCAAACACTGAGAAGAAAAACAATCGGCGGAGCAGCGAGAGTGAATCGAAGAGGAGGAAGAAGACAGACAGACAGTGAGTGACTGACTGACTGAGTGAGTGAGTGAGTGAGTGACGGTGTGATGGAGGGAGCGAGTGACTGCGCCTCGCCCCGCGGCAGAGGCAAAGAGGGAGGCCGGGTGAAGCGGCGCTGTGGGGCTGTGCTGGGGCTGGAGTGAGTGAGTGAGTGAGGAGGAGGGGGGAAGGGAAGGTCGGCCTCAGTGGCTGCAGTCGTCGTCGTCGTAGTAGTAGCCGCCGCCGCCGCACTATTTGCGGGCTGGGCCGTCCTGCCCTGTCCTGTCCGCGCCGCCGGTGCGGGACTTGTTGTGAGCCTTTCCCCCGCCGACCCGCCGCCATGTTGGATTATGATAATTTTCTAGAAACCGTTCCACAAATGTGGAAGAAGATCCCCGGCTCATCCTGAGGGGGAGGGAGGGAGGTGTTTTTTTTTAATTTTTTTATATATATATATGTGCGTGTGTGTGTGTGTGTGTAGCGACGTGTGTGTTTTATAATCTTATACACATGTACAGAGAGAGGGGGAGAGAGGGAGAATTTTTTTAAAAAAAACGAGCAAAACCAAGCGACGACGACGACGACGAGGTGTTTTTTTTTACACACACATTTTTTTAAAACATTTCTTTAACTTCGGCCCTTGAGGAGAGAGGAGAGTAAAGTAGGTACGTCTTATGTGTGTGTATATATAATATATATATATGTGTGTGTGAGAGAGAGAGAGTGAGACCGGCCGGCTTTTATTTTTTCCCCGAGTGAGAGAGAAAGAGAGAGAGAGAGAGAGAAAACCGATTGGATTTTTTATTATATATATACGTGTATTTATAAATTACTTTTTTTTGGTGTGGGGGGCAGGTGAGAAATGTTGTTGTTGTGTGTGTGTGTGTGTGTGGGTGGGGGAGAGGGGGAGGAAGGGAGGAGAGAAGCAGTGAGCGAGTGTCATTAGGGATGTGGTGGGGGGGGAGAGATTTTGCGAAGGCTTCGTTGACGGCCTGCGAAAGAGACTTTATCGTTGTCATTCGTATTTTTCTTTAAACCCCCCCCCCCCCCTTCATCATCATCGTCATCATCATCCTCTGAGGAGGAGGATGATGATTACGATGATGAATTTGAAGATGAATTTATTCCACTTCCTCAGGCTAAAAGACTAAGACTGATAGTTGGTAAAGACTCCATAGATATAGACATTTCATCAAGGAGAAGAGAAGATCAGTCTTTAAGGCTTAATGCATAAGCTTTGGGTCTTGTACTAACCATAATGTACAGTACTTTCCAATCAGTTATTCCACATTTGAATGATCTTACTGTAAATTTTATTGACGGCACTTCTGTATTCATTATCAACATAAATATTGTAGAAAGTGTACAGTATATTGACTCAAGTTTGATTTTTGTGCAGATTTTTATTGTACTTTTAACAGCCTTACTATGTGCAATTCTGAATTTTGGAGGGAGCTGATTCTCTGTTAGAATTAAGGCATAAAACAGAATTGTTGTATAGCAAGACCATTTTTTTTCATTTTTCCCTTCTGAGCCTAAATATTTTGAATCACAATTATGGGGGATTCCCTAATTTTTTTTTAAATGGAGCATTAACGTGCTTCTCTGTGTGAATGAAGGTTAAAGAGAATCGATAGTGGCAGCAAGTTAAACCAACAACATTTTCTATAAGCTGTTCTTATCACCAGCAAGAAACTGCAGCTTTTAGGTTTGTTCGCTAGGTGTTTCCCCGGGTTTTGTCAGTTTTACACTGTATGCTGTCCCAGATGTACTGTTTGTGGCCTTTGTCAGTAGCCAGCTATTGGTTGGAAGTTTAAATAAATGGAGTCGTTTAAATAAAAATAAGTGTGAACCGTTTGCTGACCTTGTAATAGAGAATTATGTATGCAAGGTTTGGCACTTTGCAGCATAAAAGCTTGAATATAGTCTAAATGACACCCATTTATGTAAATTAATGAACCCCTTGTACTCTTGACTGTTAAACTACGAAAAAGATAAAGACCTGTTTGTAGAAATTTCCTGAAAAATACTTATGTGGTCATGTGTTTCATTAAAAAAAACAAATTGTAATTGATATCATAAAACCTTAATTTAAATATGAAACATTATATGAACAGGCATTATATATGTGTTTTCTAATGGTTGACATGCATTTTTCCCTTCTCAAATTCTACATATCTAATCACAGTATTTTCAGATGTTTGGGTTATGTCATATGAATTCCAATATCAAGATTCCTGCAGCAATTAAATATTATTGCTTCAGTAGCATTGTGAAAAGTTGAAACTAAGTGGGCACTTTTTGAGTGTTGGAATTTCATGAAGATCTCATCAAAATTTATATCACCTGTTCCTGGTATCTATCGCTTTTAGTATCTTATTGCACATTATTCTGCATACTCTCCGAATCTGCCATAAAGCTTATCTGAAGTTAATGAAATTAAACTAATTTAAATGAAAGATATTAGAACTAAGGGTTGTATGGTTAAAATAAATACCCAGGCAGTGGTGGTGGTTTGCATAAAATAATTTATATCTTGACTGTCAGCTTAATGGGTTTACAAAGTGTTAACCAATTGAGTTTATCAGGGACAGTGTAATAAACCTTAGATACAATTTAAGTTAAAAAAGCAAATGCTCTCTCATCAAGACACTAGAATTTGAGGATAAACATAAATGGAAGACAGTCAGTAAAATGTATCTTTATACAAAGCATTCTCATAAATAGTCTTTGGGAAAATATTCATTTGTTTAGCTCACAACAGTTTCATAGTTGCAATAAAGCCATGTGTATGACCTTCTAGATTAAAACAATGTTAATTTAGCATAGAACATTGTTGAAAAAGTATCACTTGCAGCTTAAATATTTGGATACAGTCGTTAAACCTGTGGTATCCCATAGCTTGTGTCCTATGGATAGAAACAACATAAAGCAGCTTATCTGCAAATACACCAAATCTTGATTTGAATTGCTTCAATGTAATTTCTCGCAGCTAACTGCAAATACTTTTATTATGTTTGTGTGTCAACAGCCACAGGCCTCCACTCTGCCCATTACTCTGACTTAAGTGTCTTACAGTTGACCTGTGTTACTTCTAAAACTTAAGTGCAGGACTGGATGGGAAACTCGGATGTATTGTATTTATGAACATAACTTTTACCTGCAAATAAAGGTCTGCACATATGATTTAGCCAGATATATCCTCAGCTGCTTGACCACTCCAGTGATTTTTGTTGCAAGGGAGCTTGGCATATTGCAGAACAGTTGGAGTTAGTGCAATTGAGTTGCATGCTTTGGACCAATCACGCAACCACGGGAAAATATAGTTATTTAAATATCAAATAATGCCCAAATATCTTTCCCTTGATTAAAGGTGTGATGTTTAACTTGGCTAGAATCAGCTTCAGTGGGCAGTGGAAACTTGGTTACAATGGGCAGTATAACCTCAGCGAAACTGGGCAGTATCTTTACCTCGTACACCATCAGGCAAAGCTATTTCAATTTTGAAACCAAATTCCAACCAATTTTTCTTCTGTTCAAGCTGCTTACAACAAGAAAAACATTAATCTAACTCTTGATTCCCTTTTGAAAGAAAAGTTACAATACAAACTTGGGTTTCTGCTGCCTATACTATAAAATCAAATGTTAATTGCACCTACAAATTTGCTTTAGTTCCTTATAAATGCAAATTATTTTATACACTGGTGGATATTTTATTTGACTTGGATAGCATGACCCTTATTCTTGTGATATCAGCAGCATGCAGACACTCTTCTCTGTGGTGGGAAGGACCACTTGATGTATTCTCTTTGGTTAGAGCTTCTCTTCTTTCTGGACTCAGTGATTTGTTCCCTCATCCATTTGGACCTGCTGACTGAAGTGCATTGGAGAAGTGGAAGACGAAACGAAAAGGGAGAAGTTGGAATGCCACAAGGAAAATATAGAATGAGACAAAGAATCTTTGCCTGTAAAATGCAAGTCCTGATTTTTTTTAAAATAATAAACTCAGTCAACGTTAACATATATTTTGGTAATCCTACGCTCAGGTCTTGCTATTCCATTTGTGTATAAAATAAGTATTTTTGTACTGGAAAATGCTCTTCCAAATATGTTGAAGAATTAACAGTTTACCAATGACTTCACTTTCACCAGTCACATTCTTTCAACTCAATTAACATTTAATACACTGTAAAAGAATTAGTGGGCTTGGTTGTCTCCAGTGGTCCTAACCAGGAGTAAGTAATATAAAACAGTTGAAACCCAAAATAATACACTTGCAAATTAATCTACAAAAGAATTTGCCCCTGGAAAAATAAAAAAAAGTACTTAAAAAAGTATTCAACTTATTTTGCATCTTGATTCAATGGAACAATGTTATTTTTTTTAAATTGTCGCTTGAAGAACCAAAACTGCATTAGGAGGAATAATGGGGATTACATTACATCAGGATTCAAGAAATGTGCATTATTATAAAGTCATAGAAAATTACAGCACAGAAGGAAGCCATTCAGCCATCGTGTCTCCTCCGCTCTCTTTCCATTGCCAGTTGCTGGAGGGTAGAATGAAATCCACCAGACCAGTCACCCTTTAAACTTTCACATTGTAATTGCAGGTCTGTCTACATTATGAATGCCCAATTATTTCTATCGAGTCAAATACAGGTTAGGGAATATTTCCAAACAGGAGACCTGACTACTGTTAATTAAAAATGGGTGCTTGATTTTCATTCAGTCTTGCATGTATCTTATCATCGTGGACCCTCTTTGAAGACGGGGTAGATTCTCAGAGCTATTAGGATTGTTTTCGAAAGCTATTTTGCAACCAAGGTACAAACATTGGCCAATTATTTAGCGGATTTGTATTTTACCCAACATTGCTTTGTCTTGTGGGATTACTGTTGAGTTAGATAGAGGGGAAAACAATGTTGATTTGCAGCTGGAACATGTCTGAACCTTAGCTGTCTGTGTAAATGTGTAAAATACTTCTATGGGGGAGTTAGTTTCGCAGGAATGGTCAATATGGCAGGCAGCTGATTAAAACCTACTACAGAAACACAAATGCAATATTGTTAATGTAATGCTTCATTCTTTGATATGCCATGCCGTGTACAGAGATTCTGTTTACCCAAATGGAAGCCAAAACAAACCATTTCTCATAACAATTTTTTGCAGGTTTATTTAGTCTACATTTATTAAATGTAACCCAAACAAATTTGAGGAAGAGAACTAACCAATGTGGCAGACTATACAGTTCAATTATTTTTCTGTTTGAACTTTGAGGTTTTCTCCCAAGTCTGGATGAAGGTACATCTATTGTGTTTATTAATGATAACCCTTGCATTTGATATTGCATCTTTTCTGTTGGGAGAGCATCTCAAAGCTCCAGTAGTGACTGCTTATGTTGCAGCTGAACTCAGCAAAGGGTCAATAGTTTACTGCGATGAATGTAGATTAAGTAACAGTCCTGGAAATTGTGAAGAAGTCATCAGACTCCCATCAATTTATCTAGCAACAGTCACAACGCATGGGACATTTTATGCAAATTAGTTGCCACATATGCCTTTAAAATACATGATAACTACTTCACAATATATCTTTCAAAGCACTTTGAGATATCCTGACATGAAAGGTGCTATATGAAATGCAAGAGTTATTTCCTACAAATAACTCTGCAAGAAATAAATCTATCAGCCTGTCAACAACCCATCAGCCTGAAGATACTGTAATTGAATTGTTATAAATAGAATACTTTGTATATTGTGATGTGGATTTCTATTTTTGAAATTGAGCATAACATGTTTGTAAATTCTGTCCATTTTAGTCCTGGGAATAAAAATGTATACATGTGGCTGAGCACAAAGTGTCTTATTTGTAAACATTCTCAAAAAGTGGTAAGAGGACCCAAATGGGAAAGGATAGATCAACCTGATATCAGAGACGCAAAATCCAGTTTATAAATTGTGTATCTAACTTTTTTCCTTTTCGCAGTATACAGCTTTGGTCACTTATCTAACACTCCCAGAATATGAGAATGTAATAATTTGTGTGCAGCTGTTAAGAATTTTAAAGTTCACATTCTCACAGCGAATCAAGGTAAATAAGTATTTAAAAATGCCACATCGTAAAGGTTGTTCAACCACCAAGGTTCAACTATTACTATCCTCTCTTACCCATATAGTGTCCAGTTTATTCTGGAATGCCCGTAATTATCTGCCTCGACCACCTCACCAGGTACATTCATCATTCTTGGAATATTTGTATTCTGTAAATGAAATCTATTTGTTAAAAAACAACACTGCTCAAATGCTATAGCTGTGTAACAAAGTGAAACACAAACCTGTAACTAATGATTGACAAAATGATCGGTGGATCGTTTCCAGAATTCTTTACAAATTAGCAGGTATAACTCCACTTGGCAAACAGAAGGATCACTTGACTTGTTCTGTGGCCATATCTTGAGTAACATATTTTTAAAAAATCTTTCATTTGGTGAAATGTTTAGACTGTTGTTTAGAACAACATACACCTTTATAAAACCTTACTGCCTATTTCTGGCAGCTGCGGTATGCTACCTTGCAATGGTCTCTTATTTATTTTATGTCTCTGGTTTGGACACAAGAATGCTGTGTGTACCAAAAAACATTTCTCCTACTTACCATCTGAAATAGGTTGGTGACTATATGTCTTTGAGGTTCACAGTGGTTTCTAGGAACTTGCCAAGAAAAGCACTGATTTCTGACACTTGCTTTTTCCCTATGTGATTTAGTAAAACAAAAGTCCAAAAAATTGTTTAGTGTAAGTATTGCATTCATGTTGTCCATTAAAAAGAAAAAGTAACAACAA